CAACAACCCAGAAGACAACCATCTTCATTCTCGTAGCCGTGAGAACCCGAAAGCTGACGAGTATGTACACTTTTATCATAACGTTATCCTTGTTTTGTAACATCTTATATTTTCCGCACTAAACATTACGATTCATAAAAAAATAACTGCATAACATTCTGTACTACAGCGGCCAATTATTTTAACCACAGGATTATAATTCAAGACAACCATGTTAGAAAAAAAAGGGGATTTATTAAAATTTGAACCATGTGTATTAATAGACAGCGAAATATTTGTCTTAAATTATGCAGGAAACACAGACAATCTAATGTGAATTCTGTAGATACTGCATGGTTTAGAATGTCAATGTAAAGTTGCCTAGCATCTAGGACGTGTTCATGTTAATTTTCCTATAAATTCACATGAAGGAATGCAAATAGATGAATACATTCCTTATATTTGTGTATTAAGGTAAGACACTTAACAAGTAGTGTTTGCTGCATGAAAAATTTGTATGTAGGTCTTGTGTCATGGATTCAGTCCACCTTATCCCTAACCACTGAACAACACAGTCTCGCGTTTGATTCTCGTGTCTCCACGTCGAAGTCCTATTCTTTTGAATTCCACAGTAATTTCTACTACCTTGTACGTGGGAAAACTCGGTTCAGACATTCCTGCGTCCACTTGCAACTGGGAGGAGATCGACGAACTAAATCCTGTCTGTAGCATAAAGGGGATGAATTAGCGTGTAATGTATAATACCTGTCGCAAAAACATTAATCATAACAAACAACATAAATACTATGATGGTAATGTTACTCTTCACATGGCATAAAATCTATTCGAATAAAACATATTTTGATTCAACTAATTAATGTTACTTAACGGTCTTCACAATTTCGTCCTGATAATGGAGGCAGTAAACATCTTTGAAACGTCTGTAAATATGCCAGACTGCACGACGCAACACCCCAGAAGACAAACAGCTTCAGACTCTACCCCGAGGAATAAAACATTACTTTGTAATTGTCCTATGCTACGTGCGAAGTAACTTTTTTTTTTTTTAGAGAGAGTGGAAGTAACCGGTAGTTTGAGCTCAATTAGTCGGTTGAGTAACTACAGACATCAGTCGTACCTGCCAACAAATAACAGTGCAACAACGACGCAAAGGACATAGTACGATTGTGTGAGCTAAAATTTTACGAGTACTTTGTGTTTCTCGTAGAGATAACTTAGAAATATTTGGAGGTGGGTTGACAGATTATAAGTGTTGTTATGATTATGAGATAACTCGTCCGTTTGCTAGGATTTTTGGCAAAGAGAGAAATAATCGAAGAACGTCATATTTAAGTGCTCCGTGGTACACGATCTTGAAATGAAGAAAGCGCATTCTCAGCGTCCCCGCGGCTCCTCAAATTACATATGGAGAAGGCGGCCTCCATATATTGACAAGGGGTCGAATATCGGCGCGAAGGGCTAACAACCCCTAGCCGCAAGATATAAAAAGATAAAAAAACTAGTATGTTATTAAATGTCAAACAGTGACACCGTCTTCGACGGATTCTTTGGAATTGCTCTGAGAACAGAATTTTTGAGGAGATTATCTGGATTGAAAATCGAGTTAAAAAAAATCCTGAGAGATTACTTAACGAGGCATATAAGCTCTTCCTTCAACCAAATATTATGAAGGTTATCAAAGGATACGATTTGGGGGGGGGGGGGGGAAAAAAATGGGGGGGGGGGGGGATTTGAAGCACAGAGTAATTTAGAAAGATGTTGATGAAAGAATGATATCAAAATAAATTTTAAAGAAAGAGGATTTGAGGGAATGTGTTAAACTGGATCAATATAGAATCCAGTGACCGGAATTTCATGACCAGCTGAGACACTATCACCCTCGCAATAGTATCAATGTGTTATGAGTCAGTTACTTGTACAGGGTGGGGCGCGATGTCTGTGACGTTCATGTCATCCTGGTTCAGTTGATTCATTTTTGCATGTTACCAACGAACTGCCATTTTAATATTATCTTGACAATTAGGTAGCTGTTGCCAGACTTTTCTCTCTCGTTTGTGTCTGAAGATGAATTAAAGAAACAAAGGCTCATAAAAAGAGATCCTTATGACACTCTTAACTTCTGTGACGCGGATTTTCGAAGAAGTTTGAATATTTACAAAAAAAAACTCCCAATTAGCTGCGTGCGTTCACAATTCAATCTCGAAGTCGCGCTTCCAGAACCTGATTTCCCGTCCTGAGTTTACTAATCCTCTCCAGACAACAGAATAGCCTGCATTCGAGTCTCATTACAAAGGCTTCAGGCGCTGACCTGATCAGTTTTTGTTCACCTTCTCACTTCTCTCCTTCTGTGTAACTTTCCTTCTTCCTGTTGTGACGAAAAGCTTTCTGTACATAGTAAGCGGGAATGTACTGGATCGCTTTAATGGATTTGTTTGCGTCTTTCTTCAAATTCTTCTTTATTTTCTTTTTAGCCATGCTTCCTTTCTTCCTTTCTTTCTTCCTTTCTTTCTTCCTTTCTTTCTTCCTTCCTTTCTTCCCTTCCTTTCTTCCTTTCTTCCTTCCTTCCTTCCTTCCCTTCCTTTCTTCCTTTCTTCCTTTCTTCCTCCCTTCCTTTCTTCTTCCCTTTCTTCCTTCCTTTCTTTCTTTCTTCCTTTCTTTCTTTCTTCCTTTCTTCCTTCCTTCCTTTCTTCCTTCCTTTCTTTCTTTCTTTCTTCCTTCCTTCCTTTCTTCCTTTCTTTCTTTCTTCCTTTCTTCCTTCCTTCCTTTCTTCCTTCCTTTCTTTCTTTCTTTCTTCCTTCCTTCCTTTCTTCCTTTCTTTCTTTCTTCCTTCCTCCCTTCCTTTCTTCTTCCCTTCCTTCCTTTCTTCCTTCCTTTCTTCCTTTCTTCCTTTCTTCCTTTCTTCCTTTCTTCCTTTCTTCCTTTCTTCCTTTCTTCCTTTCTTCCTTTCTTCCTTTCTTCCTTTCTTCCTTTCTTCCTTTCTTCCTTTCTTCCTTTCTTCCTTTCTTTCCTCCTTTCTTTATTCCCTTCTCCTCCTGTCAACTCTTTCATTCCCACTGAATTTTCGCTACTCTTGCTTCGAATTCGAGAGTTCTCCAGTTCAGATGCCGGCCCGGATTAAAATTTTGTGGTTTTTCTCAGCACTTCCAAGAAAATTCTGGAAGAGGACCTTAAATTACGCCACAGTCGCTTCCTTCCACTTTCCTCCCAGTTCATTCGATGACGCACGACCTAAGCGGCGGAAAAGACGTATCATCTAAACCAAGAATCAGTCACCGGCGAAGATCATCTGAAGTCTGGAACGCTCAAGGCCGGGCACAGCGGCGAGGGCGTTGTGTAGAATCCTCGTAATGATCGATTCACTGTGCTTTTGGGTGCTTTGTTGACCTTCCGGTCATCGTGGGCGGCTGGTGGGCACGGTTACAGAGAACTACTTCATTTCGTTTCGATTTCAATCGACGATCAAACACAATCCGCCCCAAAGCAATCCTCTCACCCCTCTGACCAAAATCACTTGATTACGTTTATTCGTGAGCTTATGGGACCCAAACATTTATATTCCAACACCAAAACATTTCATAAAACACGTTTAATCTGTTCGCGGTTACATTTAAAACCAACAAAAACTCGTAAAATAATTTATCTTGCTTTTACAGTCTTTTAACAATCATTGCCAGCATTCTTATCTTTCTTATTTAAAGGTTTTATTTTTTTTAAAAAGAAACATTATTTAATCATTATTTATCTCCATCAAACCGAAAGATAAACATAGATTTCGCGCGGCAGCCATACTTATTTCCCCATCTCAAGGTCACAGCACGTATAAATCTGGCCTTACCGATCACCGGACCTGAACTCGAAACTGTATCGTCTGGAATAAAGAGCGGGAATTGTAACAAATCGACTGTGAGGTTGAGTGCCGATTTCTGAGAACAGACATCGCGTATGTTTGATGAAATACAAAAAAAAAGTTACTGGCCACCGCGAAGTTGTTTAAACGAACTGCTGAATTCGAATGAACGGGCTTGAAGTGTTCCCTGCACATGACAAGAGCAGAAGTGTGCCTCGGGAAACTTTTACTTGTGATGTGGGTATTTTAATTTTTGTTATGTTATTTTTAAACCAATTGCCACAAGCAAGGAAATGAAAGCTGGAAACGTTGGAAAGAAATTCTAACGCCTACTTCAATTTAAAATCTTCCGCGGATGTACAAACACTAACGGATATTTTTAATCAAAATAATGAACACACCAACCCAATGCTAAATCATCAGATACAGCTTTTCATGAGATGGTAAAGTTGCGTCATATTGTGATTTAATAAATATATATTAAATCTTGTCCGTCTAATCACAATAAATTCTTATTAAATATTAAAATATTACAATAATTAACATTTAAAATATTTAAAATATCAAATGATGTTCTTTATAGAAATATTCGATTTACATTAGATGGTCTAAT